GTGAATGCGGGGTCCGGGTGAGAGCGGATATAGTGAATGCGGGGTCCGGGGAGAGCGGATATAGTGAATGCGGGGTCCGGGGGGAGAGCGGATATAGGGAATGCGGGGTCCGGGAGAGCGGATATAGTGAATGCGGGGGTCCGGGGAGAGCGGAATATAGTGAATGCGGGGTCATGGGGAGAGCGGATATAGTGAATGCGGGGTCGGGGAGAGCGGCGGATATAGTGAATGCGGGGTCCCGGGGAGAGCGGATATAGTGAATGCGGGGGTCGGGGAGTGAGAGCGGATATAGTGAATGCGGGGTCCGGGGAGAGCGGATATAGTGAATGCGGGGTCCGGGGAGAGCGGATATAGTGAATGCGGGGTGCCGGGGAGAGCGGGATATAGTGAATGCGGGGTCCGGGGAGAGCGGATATATATGAATGCGGGGTTCCGGGGAGAGCGGATATAGTGAATGCGGGGGTCCGGGTGGGAGAGCGGATATAGTGAATGCGGGGTCCGGGGAGAGCGGATATAGTGAATGCGGGGGTCCGGGGAGAGCGGATATAGTGAATGCGGGGTCCGGGAGAGCGGATATAGTGAATGCGGGGTCCGGGGGAGAGCGGATATAGTGAATGCGGGGTCGGGGAGAGCGATATAGGGAATGCGGGGTCCGGGGAGAGAGCGGGATATAGTGAATGCGGGGTCCGGGGAGAGGGATATAGTGGATATGGGGTCCGGGGAGAGCGGATATAGGAATGCGGGGTCCGGGGAGAGCGGATACTAGTGAATGCGGGGTCCGGGGAGAGCGGATATAGTGAATGCGGGGTCCGGGGAGAGCGGATATAGTGAATGCGGGGGTCCGGGGAGAGCGGATATTAGTGAATGCGGGGTCCGTGGAGAGCGGATATAGTGAATGCGGGGTCCGGGGAGAGCGGATATAGTGAATGCGGGGGTCCGGGGGGAGAGCGGATATAGTGAATGCGGGGTCCGAGGGGAGAGCGGATATAGTGAATGCGGGGTCCGGGGAGAGCGGATATAGTGAATGCGGGGTCCGGGGAGAGCGGATATAGTGAATGCGGGGTGGGGTGAGACTATAGTGACTTTCGGGGGTCCTCTTACCTGAGGAGACAGGACAGCTTCGTGAATGCTGTTTACCCCGGGGAAGACGGAGAGAGATCATCAGTGAATGACGGGGGTCACAGCTCAGGGTTATAGTGTATTCAGTCAGTACTACACCCCCCACCATGAATCCGGTCCTCATCACAGATACAGTGGAGACCCCCACTCATTCATCACATCACAGATACAGTACTGACACCCCCCACCATCAATCCCTCATCACAGATACAGTGACACCCCCCACCATCATCACATCACAGATACGTACTTAAACCCCCACCATCATCCCGCGGGAGAGATACAGTATACCCCCCACCATCATGCGGGGGTCACGGGGGATACGGTATACCCCCCACCATCTGGGTCCTCATCACAGATATAGTACTACACCCCCCACCATCATCAGGCATCACAGATACAGTACTGACCCCCCACCATCATCCCTCATCACAGATACAGTACTACACCCCCCACCATCATCTGGGGAGAGCAGATACAGTAATACACACCCCCACCATCATCACATCACAGATACGGTACTACACCCCCCACCATCATCCTCTCATCACAGATACAGTACTACACCCCGGGGTCCATCATCCCTATCACAGATACAGTACTACACCCCCCACCATCATCATCGTCACAGATACAGTACGGGACACCCCCCACCAGTCACATGCAGATACACTGTCTACACCCCCCACCATCATCACATCACAGATACAGTACTACGATACCCCCCACCATCATCACATCACAGATACAGTTACGATAACAACCCCCACCATCATACATCACAGTACAGTATACGGGGTCCTCACCATCATCACATCACAGATACAGTACTACACCCCCACCGTCATCACATCATCAGATACAGTACTACGGGTCCATCATCACATCACAGATACAGTACTACACCCCCCCATTATAGTCATCACATCACAGATACAGTACTACACCCCCCACAGCATCATCACATCACAGATTAACAGTATACACCCCCCACCATCATCCCTCATCACAGATACAGTACTACACCCCCCACCATCATCACATCACAGATACAGTACTACACCCCCCACCGTCATCACATCAGCAGATACAGTACTACACCCCGGGTGTCCGTCATCACATCACAGATACAGTACTACACCCCCCACCATCATCCTATCACAGATACAGTACTACACCCACCCCCCCATGTCATACATCACAGATGCGGGGGTCCGGGAGACTACACCCCCCACCATCATCACATCACAGATAGCAGTACTGAACACCCCCCACCATCATCACATCACAGATACAGTACTACACCCCCCACGTCATCACATCACAGATACAGTACTACACACCCCCACCCATCATCACATCACAGATACAGTACTACACCCCCCACCATCATCCCTCATCACAGATACAGTACTACACCCCCCCACCATCATCACATCACAGATACAGTACTACACCCCCCCACCATCATCCCTCATCACAGAGTACAGGGTACGGGGACACCCCCCACCATCATCACATCACAGATACAGTACTACACCCCCACCCATCACATCACAGATACAGTACTACACCCCCCACCATCATCACATCACAGATACAGTACTACACCCCCCACCATCATCACATCACAGATACAGTACTACATCCCCCCACCATCATCACATCACAGATACAGTACTGACACCCCCCACCATCATCCCTCATCACAGATACAGTACTAAACCCCCACCATCATCCCTCATCACAGATACATACTACACCCCCCAGGGTCATCACATCACAGATACAGTACTACACCCCCCACCATCATCACATCACAGATACAGTACTACACCCCCCACCATCATCACATCACAGATACAGTACTACACCCCCCACCCAAATCATCACATCACAGATACAGTACTACACCCCCCACCGTCATCACATCACAGATACAGTACTACCCCCCCCACCATCATCACATCACAGATACAGTACTACACCCCCCACCATCATCACATCACAGAGTACTACACCCCCCACCGTCATGCATCATCACAGATACAGTGAAGTACTACACCCCCCACCATCATCCCTCATCACAGTACAGTAGTACTACACCCCCCACCATCATCCCTCATCACAGATACAGTACTGACTTTCAAATCACAGATACAGTACTACACCCCCCACCATCATCACATCACAGATACAGTACTACACCCCCCACCATCATCACATCACAGATACAGTACTACACCCCCCACCATCATCACATCACAGATACAGTACTACACCCCCCACCATCATCACATCACAGATACAGTACTACACCCCCCCATCCATCATCACATCACAGATACAGTACTACACCCCCACCATCATCACATCACAGATACAGTACTACACCCCCCACCATCATCACATCACAGATACAGTACTACACCCCCCACCATCATCACACATCACAGATACAGTACTACACCCCCCACCATCATCCCTCATCACAGATACAGTACTACACCCCCCACCATCATCCCTCATCACAGATACAGTAACAACCCCCCCACCATCATCACATCACAGATACAGTACTACACCCCCCACCATCATCACATCACAGATACAGTACTACACCCCCCCACCATTATCCTCATCAAAGAAGGAGGGGTGCTGTAGTCCGTGACCTGGGCTGACCCCCCCAGGAACAAGGAAACAAGGAGAATGCTGTGTCGGATGGACTTTGTATTCAGCACAAACATCACATCTTCCACATCTCCAGAAATCTTCGGGGAGTTCCAGAGATTCCACTGGTGGGTGGGCCAGGATCTGCGCCGCACAATCGCTCAATGGCGAGGGGGTGAAGTCGCTGCGACCCGACCAATCAGATAATAATCACCCATTACACGTTATTATTATTGCGGAGTGGGGGGGGGGGGGTTCATGCCGAGTGGGGGGGGGGGGTTTCATGCCGAGTTGGGGGGGGGGTTCATGCTGAGTGGGGGGGGGTTCATGCTGAGTGGGGGGGGGTTCATGCTGAGTGGGGGGGGGGGTTCATGCTGAGTGGGGAAGGGGGTTCATGCTGAGTGGGGGGGGGGTTCAGGGTGCGAAGGTTACGGCTGGTGACGGTATGACAATAAATAATCAAATTATAAATACAAATATTCATGAAATAATTCAATAAAATCACCTGAACTAGAGATAATATTATCCGTTAGATACATAAATAATTGAGATATAAAATAAACAATAAAAAATAAAGATTAGAAAATAATAAAAGAAAATTTTACTGATTTGAATACTAATTATATAAAAAAAAACACCCAAAATAATAATAATAATAATATATAATAATAATAATAATAATAATAAAGATCCCATAATAAATAGAAATGTTCATCACGGCAATAATAATGAAGAATAAAAATGAAATAAATCCATCAGATCAGATTGTAGAGGGGAGGCGATGAGGGAACGTGCTGGAGACGGCTGTAAGATTGTAGGAGATCTTCATGTCCGTGCCGTCATCTTACCGATTGGTACAGACCGCTCTGTAGCATTGGACGGACGGATCTCATTGGACGGACGGGGTCATTGGACTGGATGATCTGATTGGATGGATAGATCTCATTGGATGGACGGATCTCATTGGACGGACAGGGTCATTGGACAGGATGATCTGATTGGGCGGATGGATCTCATTGGATGGGCGGATCTCTCATTGGACGGACAGGGTCATTGGACAGGATGATCTGATTGGACGGATGGATCTCATTGGACGGACGGATCTCATTGGATGGACGGATCTCATTGGGCAGACAGGGTCATTGGACAGGATGATCTGATTGGACGGATGGATCTCATTGGATTGGGCGGATCTCATTGGATGGATGGATCTCATTGGGCAGACAGGGTCATTGGACAGGATGATCTCATTAGATGGATGGATCTCATTGGATGGACGGATCTCATTGGGAGGACAGGGTCATTGGACAGGATGATCTGATTGGACGGATGGATCTCATTGGATGGGCGGATCTCATTGGATGGACGGATCTCATTGGGCAGACAGGGTCATTGGACAGGATGATCTCATTGGACGGAGACATTGGATCTCATTGGACGGACAGGGTCATTGGATGGACAGATCTCATTAGACGGACAGGGGTCATTAGACAGGATGATCTGATTGGATGGATAGATCTCATTGGATGGACAGATCTCATTGGATGGACGGATCTCATTGGGCAGACAGGATCATTGGACAGGATGATCTCATTGGACAGGGATGGATCTCATTGGATGGACAGATCTCCCTGAACGGACAGGGTCATTGGATGGACGGATCTCATTGGACGGACAGGGTCATTGGATGGACGGATCTCATTGGACAGACAGGGTCATTAGACAGGATGATTTGATTGGATGGATGGATCTCATTGGATGGACGCATCTCATTGGGCGGGACAGGGTCATTGGACAGGATGATCTGATTGGACAGGTGGATCTCAGTGTATGGTGAGGTTGGATGGAATGATCTTTTCAATGATGATCAGCAAACACAATAACTCCTAAAGTGGACCTGTCATGAGCACACGTTATCCTCCCCGCACTGCATGTGACTGAGCTCAGGCCTGGGATTGGCTGCTCAGGCATTGTGGGAGGAGGTTCTGGATGGAGTGGGGAGGGGTTAGAACTCCTCCCAGGTTCCTGTTGCTGTCTATCTGTGTGTATCAATAGTTAAAGAGCAACTCCGGACACATTTTTCTTCCATATAGGGGGGACCCGGGCTTATTGTAGTGTCTGGGGCCCCGTAGTTGTCACCTCCAGTCAATGAGGGAAAATATATCTCCAGTGGAGACATCTAAGAAATGTTCCAACTCGTCCATTCCATCCATGTTCCTCCAACCAGATATGGTGGCCACCCATCCCTGCCAAACCAATGTCCCCGGGGATGTGCACTGCACAGGCTCCACCCCAATCGTCTTGGCAGTGTACCCCCTTTCCCACCCCAATCTTCTTGGCAGTGTACCCCCTTTCCCACCCCAATCTTCTTGGCAGTGTACCCCCTTTCCCACCCCAATCTTCTTG